AAATATATCTATTTCATGAAATTAGATTTAGTGAACGCTACTGTTGTAATAGAATAACCAGAATATTTAAAAAATTTTATGGTGCTTGATCATTGTCCGGAAAAATATGTCTAGCGTTCACAAAGGTGCAACAGTTTCCTTTATGTATAAACAGATATTAATACATGTGGTTTTTGTTTTGATTATTGCTTGGAGTAACTTCTTTGGGGGGGGGGGGGAAGTTAAGTTTCAACAATGTTTATTTACCGATTTACGAAAGCTAATGACTCGTAAATAGTCATTCTGCTTCTAAATACCGCGAATTGTTTGTTAAATCAGTTGTTAATTCCTAATCACCTTGTTGTCAATTTCATGTTTTGTGTTTTGCCTACACATACGTACATTTATTTATTTCGATTTATTTAAATATTTTTGGTAGTTTTTTTTAAGTATGATTAAAAATGTAATTATCATTACCGTATATATATTAAAAAAAAAAAACTAAAATTTAAAGATATTTGAAAAATTAAAATATTCTGCAGTTGCATTTTCGATAAGGCACTTGCGTCATTTGACTTTTTAAGGCGTTTACGTCATTTGAAAAATTAAATAATTATAAGATAATGAGAAGACATCGGACGTTTTGAGAATATAATATTACATATTTATTTGTGAATAAAAATATTAAGAAACACAAATTAAATCTCAGATTTGATATGATATGGATAGCGAGAGGATTTATTTGGATTATCTGCGTGGTAAATTGTCCTGGAAAATATTTACGTATTGCATTGATATTAATTCGTATAAAGATAACATTACTGATGAAGTTCTTAATTGTATTATTTAGTTATTATTATTATGGATGTTTTTATAGAATATTGTGCAAGAAGGCATAATTTTTGCGAAATTTTCATTATCTATAATAATCTATATTATCACGGTGTACTCTCGTGCAATTCACATGTACGAAAGAATTGTGAAAGGTTGCTACAATATTTCGCTACACTCTACATTATATTCGTATGCTACACTGTAATAAGACATTATAAAAAAGGATAGATGAAATAGGTCATTTTACGGTTATATCGGTGATTCGTTATTTATTCATACTGCAGTGACACTGATTTTTCGGGCGACGAAATCGACCGCGACGCTGTGACGATTAACGTGGAAAACGATGAAACACAAATTAATTGCTGATCTTACGGAGGCAAAGGTTATTATACGTACATGGAAAGAACAATTTTGCTGAATCCAGATCTGAAAATAATTTTTGTTCAATAATCAAAATAATTTTGTGCGAAAATCAAAATGATTGCTAGAATAAAATAGAAAAAATGTTTTATAGCAATGCTTATCAGTTTTAACAATTTAACAAATTATTTCAATAATTCAACAAAAAATTATCTTTACATCTGTATTTAGCAAAATTTTTAGACCTTTCAACAAAATTGTTCTTTCCGTGTACTATTAAAATGTAGGATGTAATATATTGCTTTCAATTGCAAATCTTAAATTCGTCGGACTTAAATACGCTTTAACGGTTCATTTCATATTCACGTTCTTGATTTTCTTGGGAGTGCTTAGGTACTTCGTACTTGCGGAAATTACGGGAATCAATTATGCATATGGCATGGAATTGAACGTATGTATTTCCGGTCAGGGGACTTGCTTATTCTTTCCATCCTCCCTCCTATCTCGATACGCCCTTTTCACTCGCACCATTACGTTAATCGCTAAAACGCATCCTTGTGTGTGTGTGTGTGTGTTTTTTTCTGCACGAAACCTGCCCCTTTCGCTGCACGGAGCTATCTATATTATTTTCGCTTGTGTAGATTATAGTTAACGTTTACATCATCCAAGTAGCAATAAACGTCGCCCGAACCTTTACGGATGGTGGAAACTTTTTTCTTCCATTTGTTTTCCCCTGCGCTTCGCGACCTATCGACGCGACTGTATGCATTATTTGTAAGTGTCTCTCCCTTGTTGCATTAACGACTGATTGTACCTCAATTCATTATGTAAACATCGCGATCGATAGAAGGGCAGCGTTTTGCGTATGTATACGCGATTTTTCCCTTCTCTTGCTACCCTCCTCTGCCTAGAAATTGGATGTCTAAATGTGCGCCTCGCGTGCCGACGAGCTGTTGGAAAGGAGCGCTTATTCGGATGTTTGTTAATTCACAAACTTGTGAGAATATTTCTCTATAATTGTCGATACTCCTATATTTTGCAAAGGAAGAACCCTTGAGAAATATGAAGCCATATCGAAGCATATACGAGGGATTTTAATACGAGAGCAACCTTTCCACTTGTCATTGTTGCAACAGTCGGGCTGACACTTTATGATCATCGCAATAATTTATGACGATAAAATAGACACTTATGATCCTTGTTCTATTTCAATCTTGATTCTTAACACGATTCGATCTCGAGTCTCAAGAATTCACTGTTGTCTGATCAACTGGTGAATAGTTCTAAAATATTACGAATACTTATAGTATAAAGTTGATAAATTGACAAATATTTCAATAGCATTTTAGGGATAGCAGGTAATTAGGTATCTATAGAAGTTAATTCGCAAAATTTATTCACATTCGTAGTCCCATAAAGAGCAAGCCTTACTACTTCTGCTCGCGTTAATCTTTTATTCGATTCTATCGTTAAACAATTTGTTTGGAATATTTAGAAAAATCGTATTTCAAATTTGACACGTACAGCATTTTATCTGTATCTGAAAAATACGAAAAACGATAAACTCTCGATATATAGAGTGTATTTTAAATGATGCCCACTAATTATATAGCGTTATTTCTTGTAACAAGAACCGAGTCGAAAAGATCTGAATTTCATTTTTCTCTATAATTATTTCTATCTCTTGTCGAAATTCTCTAAGGAGGATTCTTCTAACGGAATTAAGGAATATGATTTTTAATTTGAATCAAAAGGAACTTGCATTATTGCGACGCGTAAGAACATGGTCGGTTAACAGTAGCGCGAAGTTGCATTGAAAATCACACTCTTTCCGTTAAAAAAGCACTTTCTTTTTAGAGAAAATTTTAACAAAATAGAATTATAGGAAAAAATGTTGTAGGACTTTTCGACTCAGTTTTTACAAAAAATAATGTAATTAGTGGGCACCGAGAGGTCAACCACTACTAAAAAAATGTACAGTGATTGCTAATACACTTTATTGCTAGCGTTGCTATTGTATTGTACTTTCGTATTGTCAGTAATATTGCCATCTATTATCTCATGTACTGCCACCTATTGTGCATAATGTTGCCAAGTATTGCTAATGTATTTTTATGTATTACTAGTATTATAATGTCGTAATACTAGCAATATATTTCTAAAGAAATGTACACTGATTACCACAGCGGTTGACCTCTCGGTGGGCACTATTTAAGATACTATTTAAGATCCTGTATATTACGAATAAAATTAGTAATTAAACAATTTTGAGATAACAAATTTTGTCCAACAAAATTAAATAATGAATTCTGCATCATTTAAAATTATATATATATATATATATATATATATATATATATATATGTATACGTGTAAAATTTGTCTGACGAAAAATCGTTGCCAAGGTGTCCTTCATGCCTGTTCGAATTTCATGGACTTTCAAAGTTTTTCCTTACCTGCGCTACGCACAAAATACCGATGTTATCCGCAAGGAATGTTGCCATCCGTTCGTCTTTTAGATGAGAGTTATGTCGTTATATAAAGTGGCTGTTAATCGAAGAAGGATCCGCAAGCGCTATATTTACGACGCGCGCGACATTTCCGGAAATTAGCGGCGTAAATATTCGCATTACGTGACTTTGCTAACGTCTCGTTCAGCTTATTGAATATACGATTTACATGCGGTACGTATATAGTCGCTCCTTTTCACAAGTGCCTTATATTAGGATAGCCCAGTGTTGGTGAAAATATATGATCTCGTAGTCAGCCAAATTATTACTTCTCGAGTAAAATATTGGAATGATATCTGTTCACACGTGATGCTTTATTACGTACAATCGGAATTGTTTGCTATAATTATTACAATATACCGTTATATAATTTTTAATAATCGTGTATAGAAAAATTTTTCATTGACATTTAACGTATTATAATAAACTAAAGACAATATCGAATCTCACTTAAAACGATTGATCCTTATTTTTAAAACGAGTATACGAGTATAATAAATTTTCACGAGACTATTTAAACACTACTCTCGGAGAAATGCAGAGGCAACTTTGCATTTAGATATAAGTGCAGTTACCAGGAAATGTGCGCGATATCGCATATGAGATATACATATTTTAACAACACTGCAGGCGCCGCGACGCGAGGCGAGCTAAAGACGAGCGAGGGAAAGCTGAGAATTTAGCAGAGATGATTAGAGAATTTAGCAGTGATGTTTAGCGCGATGAAAAGGTTATCCCCGTGCATTACCGGCGTAGTAGTACGTCTAAATTCTAAAACGTTGAGGAACACATCCGATTTGGTTGTCAGTCGGTTGCACGAGTTGTTAGTTTTGACGACCGGCCCGATATTTTAAATCGTTTTTAGACGAAACGTATCTCCTCTCCCGATAATGCCTTGAGATAAGCGCAAACCTATCATGAGTCGTTTTCCTTTCCGCAACACAGGTATTTCTTTCTCGTCCGACTGATTATCTGACGCGGATATTTAAAACGTTATCGCGACGCTCGCTCGTGAATGATTTAAATTTCTTGTTGAAGTAAGTTGGAGGTAAAACGCAAGGAAGATCTCTCGATTCCTCAGTCGAGCAGAAATGAACAGCTCTGTTCAGGAAATAAACACGATCGAACGAGTTTCCATGGCGAAAAAATATCGAAGTATCGCGAGGCGCAAAATATCGGTATCAGACCGACCCCAGCCACGGACGCGTTCCCTCGACGCGGTCGTCTCGCGTTTCGAAATGTCAAGCCGCGGGGAGGGGTTAGAGAGACAGGGAAAGAAAGAGAGAGAGAGAGAGATCTGTCATATCCGTTCAGGATCCTCCCCGACCAGGTAACATTTAAATACCCTCGCCAGGTTCTCGGTGCACGTCGATCGGTTCAGCCTGCAGTGATCTTGTGAGAGAGGCGAGAAAGAAGACCAGCTGCCTGCAGGCTGCGCCCAGCGTCGCGCGCGCACACCGAGAAGCAACCTCCTCGTGTCAAGCGTGAGGACGACGACGACGACGACAACGACGACGACGACCGCGACGACGACGACAACGGCGAGGAGGAGAAGGAGAAGGAGGAGGAGGAGGAGGAAGGGCAATACTCTACCGGACGAGAGAGCAAGTGACAAAAAGGACAGTGAGGGTGAGGCAAAGAGAGAGGGAGAGAAAGACAGACACGAGCGAAAGGAAAGAAGGACAGACAGAGGATGAATGGCCCCGGGAGTCATCAGCACCGCGGCTTGGGCATGCAGGGACGTTACAGAACCGTGGTGGCCAATGGCGCCCCGTCGGGGCCGCACGCGCGCGCCTCCGCGTCGTCTCATCCCCGCAACGGCGGATGGCACCCCCACAGTCTGCATCAGCAGCAGCGGCAGCAGCAGCAACAGCAGCAGCAGCAGCAATTCGCCGCCGGCAGCAAGGAATACCCGTACCGGCAGTGCCCGCCACGATATCACAATGGGTATATTAACGAACCCGCGCAATTGCAAGTCCGGCCGGCCGCCGCGCTGTCGTGAATATATACGCGAGTTTTCGCGGCGTGTCCCAAGCTCGCGGCAGCTCGAGAGGGCAGAAACTCGGGCGATAGTATTGTGACAAGAATATTTCTGTAGAGAATTGTCGGGTAAATCTCATTTTTTTTTTCTCGCGCAGACGCTTTTGTCGCGACAAAACGCTTTGTGACGATGGGGTAATATTTCCTTTAATATTCGCATTTTTTTTTTAATCTCACCCCCACGTATGTCGATAATTTTATATTTCGATTCAGGATTTTTTATTCTCAGAAAATTTTATACGAGAACACAAAACTTTATTTCTCTATAATATAATTAATTTATTAAATGCTTCACAAAGTTGTGCTTTGGCGCAACTATTAACAACTATTAATCCTTAAATATCCGGGTATATTGTATAATATTGTTCTTCTTCAGGCTTAACATTAAATCCCTAGAAATTATGGGAAAATTTAACGATAAAAACTACGCAGAGTTAATTGCTTTCATTAATTTTTCTTTTAATAAAAAGTAAAAACGATGAATGAAAAATTATAAAATTAAAATTTGAAATATTTAATTTTAATGTAAAGAGTAAGAGAAGTTTGGGTATGTGTACTATATAGAGAAATAAGGCAAAACTAAGAATAATTAAAAATAATTGTTTTTGTTTTTAAATGCGTGCTATTTTTAAAATTTGGATTTACGTTACGATTAAAAATGTTATTTACACTTGCTTGCCTGAGTGCCATTTTATTTGACACTTGGGCCGAACGTAATATACGTATATTTCTATAAGATCGTTCCGCGATGACGAAGAACTTTTACGCACGGCAACCCTCATTAGAAAAATCTGTAGAACGTACCGGAGGTGGAGTCACATTTGTACTATACGATATTCGCGATTCTTAAATCTTGAGAGAGAAAGAGAGAGAGAGAGAGAGAGAGAGCTAACGGGATAGAAGATGCAGCTTTATAAAAACTTCCCCTTTAAGAAACTTTATTTTTACTCTGCAAAAGTTTACTTTTTAAAAATACAATTAATTTATCGTCAAAACATATTTGTAACTTTATCAAGTTTACAACGTTTTTACTTTACATATACTTTCATTTATTTAATCAGATCGATAATCTTTCTGCCTGTCGATACAGAGTGTCACAGATAATTACTTTTTTTGTTACACTTATCAATAATTTCGGTATTAATGGGTTTTTAATAATTTATTTAAGTTTTTTTTTTAAACAAATTTTTGCTAATCTTAGAAAACTCTCCAGAAATTGAATAAACGCTCCGTTAATCCACTTGACGTTAAACGACGGAAGATAGAGGATTTTATGATTTTATACGTACTTCTGAAGTTTCTCGCGAAGGCAAATTACGAATCGCTAAAACAGTCTCTTTCGTATACTTTGATATTTTTGACAGTGAAAAGTTATTACGTGACATAGACGGAAGAATCTTCTGACGGTGGAGAATATGACGAGTTTGAGACGCCCTGTACAATTTTCACGGACTTTCTACCAGCTGTAGAAAGTCCGGAGTAAATAGAATTCCGTTTATTCAACGCCTGGAAAACGCTCTCGATCTCTATCAGATTGCTCAAAGTCGACACGCGTTTCATTACGGGATGGATCGAGCTTTTTTTTTCCTTTTTTTCCCGCGTGGCAAAAATTCTCGTGCCACGTTCCCATTATTCATCGTGCATTTGTACATTTGTGCATTAAACGTCATGAACTTAGTACATGGCTTAGCTAAAGTGTCGTACGTTATATGTGCATATATATATATATATATACATATAAATCATTTTCTTTTAAAATTGGTTTTATATATATATATATATATATATATATATATATATATCTGTATATATAAAACACGATACACGCATATGTATATATATATATTTTTATGATTTTAAATACACATACATATATAAATACGTGTATGTTTATAAAAATTATTTATATATTATGCATAATATTTAAATATATTTTGATATGTTATGTACATAATACATGTGTACATGGTTATATATTAAAAAATATTTTTTTATATAAATATATACATGTATTTATATATAAAAAATATACAATATATACAAAACTAAACAATGCATTTAAGGCCAAGTCGAAAGATGACGATGTTTGCGTGTATTTAATTTTTAGTGGAGCCGACGTTGAAGATTCTCTTTAATCAACCATAATCAACGGGCCGCCGCGATAACGTGCCCGCGAGACGCGCTTTATTTCCGTGCTCTCGCACTTCGAAACCCTTTTTCACCGATTCGCGCGCGTGGCGCCCATTTCTCGTTTATCTGCCTACCTTAATTTAAATCGGTTTATCGATTTTCCTTCGCTCTCTGTCTCTCCCCATGTCGACCGCGTGCACTTTTGTTCTATGTATATGTAGCATCGTTGGATTTCATTAGACACAACTATTATATACTCTTGCCGCATCTGTGTAGACCTCACAGCCTTGCAAACTTAACGAACGTTCAATTAGGATTTCTTGTTGGTTCTCTCATGTAGGGTGTCCCGATACTCTGCCTTTGATCTTAGTCACAGATTTTGGGGTCGATGTAACTCCTTGGAAATTATTTCGAACGAAGCCGTAAATAAATAATTTTTTTTAACGTAAACGTAACGCTAAATTGAAAATTCAATAATAATTATAGTTAAGATGCAAGGAAATTTAAATAAGAGCAGTTTTTCTGTTCGTTTGCACTTTATACATATTTCGTAGCATTTAATTTGAAAATAAGATTATATAAGCTTTCTCAATTTTAATTGAGAAAAACTTGAGGTCAAGTAAATCGAAAATTCTGTCATTGAAATTAGAGGCGGAAATTTTTAAATTTGGCAAATGCGAATTATTAATAAGATGATTATAATTTTTCCTAACAGTAGATGTTGTCAAATATTAAAACATCTAAAAGACTTAAAAAATATTTTTTAAATATTATTTTTTAAATTCCTTGATTTTGACAAGATATCTAAATAGATAGTAGTTAAAGATGTACCATTTTGATTCGCACGCGGAATTATTATGCAACTGCATGACGCAACATATTTGCATTTTCTTGCAAGTATCGAATTGATTCATCGTCAGTTATTATTTTGTAAACAAAACATTTATAGAATCAACCTTAGAAATTTTCTTTTATAACAGTGGCGATTTTTCGTCACTTATAGATATATGTAGGTATTTTTGAGAGGAAGTACGGTCGGTCAGCGGTATCCTGCATGTTAAAAACTGCAAGTTGCATGCAAAAAGACATTGAAAAAAAAGTGTTGGCTCATGCGTACGACTTGAATCGTTATCAAGCCTTACCTATATGTATATAAATTCATGTTGCAAACACGTCTATAACTTCACGATTGCATGATTTTCGCGTCTCTTTCTGCCTGTCGGAAGATTATCGAGTAGAAGTAACTTTATATGGAATACAAATTTTTCCGTATATCTGAAAACATGTATGCTGACATAGGAAAAAAATTTATTTATATTTCATTGTGGGTTAAAATTCTCTAACAAAATTCGAAATCGCGAATAATTCAGTTAATTAACTGACACAAATTCCACTTTATTTTAGGACGTATGACGTCTCTTGAGAGAAAACGTTATATTAAAATCACACTTTTAACAAGCAGCGAACTTAATTCGCGGTTTAATTAGCACCACATGTCTCACAGCAGTTTTATCGGGTTTTTTTTCTCGACATTAGACGGTTCTGAAGTTTAATCCTCGCCGCGAGATGTGTGTTTAAACTGGCGTAATCTTGCTCCAACTTATACGATCGCCGCTATTGACGCATGACATCGACATCTTTGAGAGCCATTTAGCTTTGCCAATTGACTCTAATATCCGTCGAGAGAACGTACAATTTTATAACGCCCGCTTCAACATTTTACTTTCCTTAACTTTTTTTTCTATATGCCACGTCTGTGGTATAATATGTTCCGCTGGTTATCTCGTTTAGCCTGCTCGCGCATATTTATCAGTTTCGTGTGTACAAAGTGTATATATACACATATAGATTTTTTTCCCCTTTCTTACGACCGCGAGGAGTCTATCGCGAGTCTATCCTTCTCTCGAGTCTCGAACGTTAGTCCATGTTAGACGACTGCAGGAGATAAACTCCAGTTTAAAGAGAGGGGCGAGAGAAAACGCGATAGGGGATCTCTGCTTCCCGATCGAAATGTCCCTTTTCATGAAAATCGGAGGGAAAGTCATCTCGAATGCGATAAATGCAACGAATTAAATATAAATGCATTAAATAAATTTACGAGTACAATATGCAATATTGATGCCGAAGCCGTACAAACGCACGGGGTGAAATTATGCAAATGGCATTATATTATGTTACATCATGTATTACAAGAGCGTATATAGTGTGCGAACTATTTTACGAACGTATACACGTCGTGCATTATGTAAACGTTACAATTCGGTTTCCATTGACACGTATATTCTTTATGACACGCCGTTCACAAAGTAAAACTGGTTCGCGATTGTATAACGATAAACAAATCCGAGGCACGACAAAACAAAAATAAATAAACCGCTGGACCGGCGCACCAGTTTGTCGTCGAATCGTTAACTATTACGGCCAATTTATTCCGTCCCGTGCTTGTAGGTCAGCCAAATACATAGAGAGAGTTGCTGTCCCCTTCCTCCTCCACCACCCTCCCTCCCCCTTCCCCCCTCCCGCTATCGGTCATCCTTTCGGCCGCGGATTCGTCGACGTGTTCGTCGCGTTATTCGCTTTTCCGTTAACCGAAAATTGAAGATGGAATCGCGGATATGGTGCAGCCATAGATGAATATGTCAGCGACAAAATTAAATCGCGCGGCTTTCGAGACTTTATAATAGCGGTGCGAGCGCTTCTAATTTCGGGGTCGCGAGGATAAAATGTCGGAGTGCAGAAGTGCCCGCGAGAAGCGCGCGGCGAGGGGCTTCGCTTCGCGACGTATTTTTTGTATCGGCAAAAATTTCGAAGGCATCATTTTGCGAGACTGCACAGCCGTGTCCACGACGGGTGTTTCCACCTCGCGACCAACCGGCCCGTCGTTCGTTCTTGTTTACGACGCGAATAAGACCGCGTCCGTCGGCAGCAGTGCGGACGTCGCGTCGCGTCGCTATCGGTTTCAATTCTGATGACTGCGACTTTCATAATCGCGCTCGCTCGCGAGAAGAGAGGGAGCGCTTGCTTTAATTGCCCGAGCCGCTCGAATCGCGCGACGTTGCAGACCGTCGTCGGGTTCTCGCTATAATATCGATCGGAATGCTAAAATCGTGCGTGCAGACGCGGGAAGGGGGGGGGAGAGGACAAAGGACGGGGACTCCCCTATATAGAGAGATTTCCGATCGGAACGAAACCGGGAATCTTCGCCCGGAAATAAGATTTTCGCCGCGAAAATCTGGCGCGGCCCGGCAAGACCTTGCAAGACCTCCGCCTCCTCGGCGAAGTCGAGCGCGACTAAAATTAATTAGACAACGTCGAAATAGATCGCACACGTTTCGCGTCCACGCGGATCAATACGCAGCTGTGACGGAGATGCGGGCGAGAATTCGCGGGATTAGCGCGCGGCCGACTCTCCTTTCAAATTTGCATAACGTCAAATCCGTCCGTCACTTCCTTCGTCCTTTAAACGTCGAATTAAATCGCGGTATTTCTGATGCTGTTCCCGGCACACACGTCGCACGCCGCCAGCCGGGGCAGCTAGCGACAGCGGCGCCGAACGAACGATGAAATTTTAAGGAAGCGCCCCATCACGCGCGTGCAATTCCGCATGCATATATATTTTTACAAAGAAAAAAGAAGACCTGTAGAATTTTCATGGATTGTTTTTTTTATCGAGGAAGGGACTCTTCTCCCGGGTTTTTTTTTTATTATTCGCGCGCAGGAGGAATTGCGTTGTTGCACGGTATATATCGTCTCGTTCGCGCGAGGAGGCGGAGGCGAGCAAGATTCGCGTTGGCCGGGATCCTCGTTCCGCAGCCGCCTCGTACGTGACTCATCTCGTTACGCGTGCGGCTAGTATCGGCGCTTATAACCGAGTTATCGCTCGGCAGAGAACGGCGTATCTCGCCGGGGGATTTATTACGTATTTTCCGTTCGCGTTTCCGTGCGCCTTCGTGTGTGTACCGCGCGACTCGCACGGAGTGTGTGTGTCTCCCTCCCCCGAATCTCTCTCTCTCTCTTTCTTTCTCTCTCTGTCTCTCGTATAGAACTCGCTCTCATATATTTCTCCTATGCACGGACGCAGGGATTGCCCCGGGGTCGGCACGTCCTCCGGACCGGCCGGCAAGGAGGTTTCCTATCACGGGAACGTGGGTGGAAGCAGCGTGGGATATAAGCCGCCACCGCAGCACAGCCCACAGACGAGGGGCCCGCCGCCGCACTTCCCCCAGGAGCCGGTAGGCCCGCCGGCCAACTCCCCGCCGTTGCACATCAGTATCTGCCAACAGGTAAAAAAAAAAAAAACGCCTCTTCCTCTCTCGGTCCCTTCCTCTTCTCCTGGCTCTCCCTTTCGAGAAGGCCGTCGCTTAATCGCAATGACCGCTGTGGTGATTTCAGGAGAACACGATGCGCGGCCCTATACTGAACATGAGTCCCGGTCTCGGAGCCAGCGGAGTAGACATGGAGTACCGCAGGAACTCTCAAGGTACGATTTTTTCATCCGCTTGTCCGCAATTCGAAAGTTCGAGCCTGCACGTGCAATTCTTTTTTTCCCTTTTTTTATTTTTCCTCTCTCGCGTATTACGACTCGATACGGCAAAAGTAGTCGTTAGAAGACAAGTCCTTCGTGTGATCGGCTGTTGCGAGGAAAGTTACGTAAACCTCTGCTTTCAGCCACGAACCAGCTACCTCTGAGCCCCGTGCAAATCCAACCGTCGCCGCCTTACTACAGGCAGCCTAGTCAGGACGACGGCAGAAAAGTGAGTGGCTGTTGTGTTTTGCGCGTCTTTAACGACAAATAAAACATCTCAAGTGTCAATACAGTTATTTGTACTTTGCGTTGAATAATTGGCGCGAAAGAAAAACGAATTCGACAGGGAGATCGCAGTTGACGGTAGAATTAATGAATTGAACTCTCTTATTCGACTGTGCGAATGAATCGTGCACTCAATAATTTTCGACAGTCTAAGAATAGGCTTTTTCAATCTTTCTAACGATTCACAATAACTTTTCTTTGATGAAAAAAAAACCACGCGTCTCTTATCCTTAACGAAAGATGTCAAGAGAATTGATTACTGAGCTCGTCGAGCTTTATTTTACAAGTTTCTGCTCACACTAGACGAGAAGCTCGTTCAAGTACAACATTTTGATTATTTCACTAATTAAAACAATAACAAGCTTTTTAATATTCTGCCGGCAAACTGAGAGAGCTCTTCTCCGAGCGATACATATACACTTTACTCGGATTGAAAGCGAGTAGGAGAGAACAAACGATACAAAGCGGGATGTTTCTTTTTCCAGAGCGAGTCGCCGTCGAGGAAGCGTCGCCGAATATCTCGCAACGGTGCCGTGTCTGGGATAGAGGTACGGGAAACGACACCGCCAGCGCCGACGCCACCCCTGCACACGACCCCGCCGCCTTGGGAATTCGGGGGCGCGCCACAACGGCGCTCGCCCCGCAATCACATATCCACCCGCGGCAGTCCGACGGTTAGGAATCGTTATCAGCGTTACACGGAATCGTTCGGGCTCTCCTATCCGTTCCTGCCGGGTCACAATCCCCATCAGAACATCCACAATTCCCATCACGGCCTTCACAATTCGCATCACAACATCCACGGCTCTCACCCGCACGGTCTGCACAACGGTCCCCACCATAACATCCACAACGCCCATCAGGCGCATCCCCATCCGCACCCGGCGGCCGGTGGTACTGGGCACCATCCCGCGCAGGGTGCGAACGCGCCTGTGGTCGTCGACGTGGGTCAAGTCGGCGTGTCCGGCCTAGGGGTCGCCGTTAGCGGAGAACCGCTGTGGCATCCGCAGGCGACCGGCTACAGGATTCCGTGTCAGCTTCACAGCCTCTACACGCCTCACGGAACGCATCCGTTCGGACACTCGTGCCAGGTAGGTCGGCAATAAGTTTTTATCCATTGCGAACGCTCGAGCGAGAGTAAGTTTTGCTTGTCAATTTCATTCGTGATATTACGACTTCGGCGTAAGACTTAGTGTTTCAAGATCGATAAGTAATCAGTGCGCAGACTGCCATAAATCTTGGGGAAAAAATGTATAAATTACACAAAAATATTGTATAAATACCAAGATTTGCTGTATGACTGAATAAACCATTTCCCATATTATTTGCTGCGAAAAGGTTTCATTTTTTTTCACTGGGTACAAAAATCGAGTTTTATTTACAGACTATATTCCATTATATCTTTGATCAGCGCGTATTTTTATTAAGTAGTATATTATGTGGAATAACTACATATTGCATCGTTTGTTTAGGTGACGCATCATCACAATCATTATTCTGCCGCTCATCCAACGCATCCGAGTCACGGAATCGTTAGTTCTTTGGTGGGTGCCGCACCCAGAGGATACGCGCCACCGGCCGGTGGCGTTGCAGGACTGCACACTGCGGGTCCACCGCCCGTCCACACTGATTACACCGCGCATCATCAATTGTCTCAGCAGGTGAACTAGAAATACTTGGAAGAACATGTCTTAGGATAATTTTTATAACTTAAATGTAAGACAGGCTAATGAGAGTCATGAGCGGTTCTTGGTGCCCAAAATTTTATGTTATGTATACGTATATACTGTATATTTTTAATGTAACTTGATGTTCTAATATTGCACATAAAATTTTGGGCACCAAGAACTGCTCGTGACTCTCATTAGTTTTTCTTACATTTAAGTTTTATATATCGAGAGTTCTATATAATTTTTATAGTCCGATCTTACATTTAAAGATCGTCCTAAATTTGGTCTAAAGCAGTCTCAAGATAGAGATTGTACTTCAGATGATCTTTAATGTAAGATCGAATTATGAATACCGCTCTTAGGCTCTTAGGTTATGGAGGATCGCTCATTCTGCAAATGTGATATCCAATTTCTGAGGAAAATAAATGTCATTATTTGTCCTTAGAAAACATTCTTACGTTTGCGAAATATATATACGCCGAATACTAGTGTTTTTTTTATTTACAATACCTTTGTTAGACAATATTTTTACGCAATGTTTTTCACTGCTGACGTTCTTTCTTCTCACATTTATATTTCCAGAGGGAAGTCGAGCTCGAACTGATCGAGTCTCATCATCACCACAGAGTGGGTGCCGCAGCTGGTGCACCATTACCGTTACCGCACTCGTATTCTCCGCCGGCTCTTACACAGGTGACAACACCGCCGCCCCTATTCTTGTCGGAGACGCGAAACAGTCAATTGGAGATTGTACAGAACAGAACTCGGCGATTAACATCCAACGTTCTGCGACGGCCGAGATTCGGTAGATGGAGGAACACAACTCAATTACCCATGGCTTATCCGGGATATTTACTGCACTTCTTGTGCGTAAAGCTTATTTTGGCATATATCGTTATACAATTCCTAAGAATGCGCAAAATGCTCTGACTGTTAATCCACACGACGATATTCACTTTCTAGAGCGATGTTCAGCAATCCACCGCTGTCCCCCTACAATCAGGCCGAATTGTCCTCGCCCGACTCGGTCACGGAAAACTACGAGGCGTTGCTGTCCCTAGCCGAGAGACTGGGCGAGGCCAAGCCGCGGGGTTTGACTCGCGCGGAGGTCGAGCAGCTACCCTCTTACAAATTCAACGCAGAGACACACCAAGGCGATCAGACCAATTGCGTCGTGTGCATGTGCGACTTCGAGGCCCTCCAATCTCTACGTGTTCTGCCATGCTCTCATGAATTTCATTCTAAGTGCATCGACAAATGGCTTAAGGTGAGTCAAATGGCAGCAACGCCCCTCCCCCCC